GGAAAACAGTACTAGTCGTACTCCTGCCTTTGCCCCGTGTTCCCCTCCCTTGTCCTTTCCTCTGCATGAAACACGATGTTCTCACCAGTTCATGCTGTGCTTGCCCCCATCAGTCTGACTTCTGCTTCCCTCTTTCTTTTCTCCTTCACATACTGCACTTCCCAGCTTGTCTTAGTCTCTCCTCTCTGCTAAACCAATGCACAATGTATAGACTGACCCACAGTTAAAATTAATTTCTGACATTTTCTGGTTTTGAGGGTTTTTCTTTAGCAAGGAATCATACTTGCATCTGCTGTGAAGGTAATTTTCTGATGGGGCACCAGTTTTGTTTTCAGACTGGTATCTCGATCTCTCTCCTCTCCCCTCCTTCCCCCCGCCCCAAAACACTTCAAATAAGTTTTCTTTATTGTTGTGGCCACAACATGCATAGGCATAATCTGCTATCTTTAAACGAAGCCATAAATTATTAAACCTGTGGCTGAATTTTTTTTGGGGGGGAGGAGGGAGAACTTGGGAGGCAGGCTGTTGATTTACAGTTATTTTGATGGTGAGAACTGAATGGCTCCACAGCAGCAAGGCCAAGGAGATTTTGCTGTGTGGAAGAAGAAATTTTGGGAGCACTTTTTTTTTTCCAGGTCAGTGCAAAGCACAAGAAAACACTGCAGCTTCAAACCAGCTTCTGCAGACAAACTGGATTCAGACTTAGTAACTTCTATTCATTACTGTAATAGAGCTGTTAATGCATTCATTTAAACCTAAAAATCTGCTGAAGTATTACATCTCAAGGTGCTGCTTCTAACAACCTGAACAGCCAGCACCTTTAAAAGTGTTTATCAAGCTTTTGGCTCTGTTTTTCTCTATATATAGATACTGTAGTTCAGGTGAATACATGGTAGTGTTTGATTAGGAGATGCATTAGAGATAAGTCACTTGCAGGGAAAAAAAGCATTTATAGCTTTTGTGTCTAAAAATGAAATTTGTAGGTTGCATGAAATGTCATTCTTTTGTAGTAAATGACTTACAAGGATATGTTAGAAGCACACGTACATGAGTGCTGATGATGTTTGTATGTTCTGAAACACAAAAGATGCAGTTCATACAGTCCTGATGAATGATGTGTGATAGATTATAGCGAGGGCAGTGTAAGCAAATGAAATTATAATGGAGTTCCTCTTCTGGCTGCAGGAAATAGCTGTTATTTATCCTGTTTCCTAAAATGCTACATGCATACTACTGTTTATTGTATACTTAAAAATCCCTTGACGAGTCAATAATGACTGAAAGCTATTACAACACTCTTGGCACAAGGAGTGTAAGCCAGGATTTTTCAGTGTGCCTTTTCCTGGGTTTGGCTGAGGCGTTTCTGCAGAGCTGCTAACCTGGATAGTTCAGATGAACAGTTTTAATTCTTTCTCCTGGCAGGTGTATGAGGCAGTCCCATGCTACACCGAGTGCAATCAGTATTCTTGGGTAGTAGAACCGTGGTCTCCGTGCAAAATCAACAGCGAACAGAATTCCCTGCACTGTGGAGAAGGAATACAAACAAGGAGAGTCAGGTGCGTGAAGGCAAAAGCACAGGTAGTCCACATGAAAACAAGCTGAAAGGTACTTGCATAAAGCTGCAGTTCTGGCCACCTGACAGTGAGTACATTGCTGAGTCCAGTGTATTTCAAATGAAAAGAAACACGCATTGATGTCCAACCACTTACAGGAAAAAGCATCTCAGAGATGCAGCCTTGTGTTACGATCAAGACATCTTTCAGGAAGAAGACATGATGTTTAAATTAGAATTCTTCAACCTAAATGCCATATATACATCAAGCCCCCCGAGGTGCAAAGCCTCCATATTCTCATTTGCTAACGTTTTCCCCAGGTACAGGCCCTGCATGCGCTGCAGTCGTGTTCATTATTAGTGAGCATCCATTCCCCAGGCTCCGGGAATCACTGGGTGATTTCCAAATGTTCGGCTGCTACAAGCAGGAGCACAAGGTTTGTTTATGCTGGCTGTCATTTTCTCTTAGCTCATCTGTCAGCTGATCAAAGTTAAAATCCCTCTGTATGAAGTTTGAAATGTTTATTTAAAGTGGTTATTGAAATCTGTGAGTACCAAATGCACATCGTGTGTGTAGCTGGTTTTGCATTAACATGATCTGCTCTACGTTCAGAGCAGCCACGCTGCGTGTAGCTGTTGTGTTGCATGTAGTGTCCTGTTACGGGGTCGGGCAGACCTGTTGGTATCCATCACATCTGTAGTACCCTGGTGATCCCCTGATGAAAATGTCTGTTTTCTGTGTAGGTGTGTGAGCAGTGCTGAGGACCACGGAGGGGAGACAGTGCCCAGCGCACTGTGTAATCAGGCGGAAATCCCAGACGTGATGCAGAAGTGTAGCTTGTACTGTCCCAGTGAGTGTGCTGTGTCGGACTGGGGACAGTGGAGCAGGTGTCCACAGGTAGGCTCTCTGGCTTGGTCTCTGAGGCAACGTTCCTCAGCTGTTGTACTTCTCTGTCCTTCAACCATTTCACGAGGTAGTTATTTTCTATCAGAGTATATTATTTTCTGAGGGAAGTCAGGCTTAGTGGATCCTGCCAGTATGATTGAATCTGGAGATATTTACATTTCTACAGAGACAGAGCTATAGAAAGCTAGGTAGTAAAACACATAGTTATTACTGTGTCCGTTGATTCAGCCCATCCTTCCACTTGGACTAGAGGACAGGACCCATACAGTGAGTGAGGGGACCAGTATTCCAGCTGCAGTAAGGGCTGTCTGCATTAGGAAATACTTACAGGGGGAGCACTGTGAGCGATGTACAACTGTCATAATAACCTGCTGGTAAACCACAGTGGTGGCCCTCCTGTGGACACATCTCAGATCTGAGGGGGTGATGACAGCTCTCCCTTCTCAACAGACTCTATTTCTGTCCAGCCTCTTTCCTCCTCCTCAAAACCCTGAGGGAAGATTTCAGGCAACAGCAACAGAAGGGCATGGCAGCAAGATGACTGAACAATTTTTCATGTCACAAAGTGCTCAAAACATGGTGAATTATGCAGGGGTTCAAGCCACTGCCAAGTGCTCTGTGTTTTCCTAAGTGTGCAAAGATGGAAAGAAGCTGCAAATTCTGTCTTGTGAAAACTCTCTGGCCTCAAAGCATGTAATTTCAAACCCGTTGTTTCTCTCTGATCGGTGTTGGAGTAGGTGCCAGGTTTAATCTCAGGAGGTTTGTAATAGACTTGCTTGATGTTTTTAAGTGACAAACATGTATTCGTTGCCCCTGTGTTAACAGCCCGTTATCAAAAGTCTGAGTGGTTATTGGACAGGTATTTATACAACTGCTGACACAGGTAATTTCCTTCCATAATATTTTGTGTAGTGTATCAATATACTCAGTAAGAACATGTCAAATAAAATATTATGTTTCATTTCCTGCATTCACCTCCCCCTGAGCAGTGTAGCTTTGATGAGGTGTAACACTTTTACAATGGATACAGGTGCTTGGATCCCTCTGAAAGTCCCACTGTGACTGCGCTGTTTCTTTGCCATTGACTTTAAGTGAGAGATTTTCTTCATTTTATCATGCAGTCTAATGCAGAGATCCTCAAAGCCATTGGGTATTTTTCAGGTGCCCTGGTGGCAGTCACTGGGTCATGAGGGACTACCTGAAGCTTTAAGCACCCTGGTATCCTTAATACATTCTGATTTTTTGCTTCAAGAGTCCTTTTGGCAGTGGTGAAGACTCTCTAGCCCAGAGAAACAGGAAGAGGATGCCCAGAGCTCATGGCTGCCCTCCAGCAGGCAGCATAGCTCTTGGCATTGACAGGGCTGAGTGCCACCATCCTTCTGTCTCCTTGTGCATCTTTTTGCCACGGTAGATGTTAATTCTTACGTGGTGAGGGCATCTGCATGCCAATGCCATTAACTGAACAATATGTTTTCACAAGCTGTTATGCAATACTTTGTTGTTAAACTGAGATTGCTGTGTGCGGGTGGAGCCTGTGTTTAAATAGTTCTGTCCAGATACAAAGCAATAAATAGCTTGAAGTTTTATGAACAGATAAAACCTGCTCTTCAGTGAGTTTACAGCAGTGTTGTCTCCCTTTTATAGCTACTCAAGCTGTTCGTGTTCCTTTGGTTTTGAGAGGGGACCACACAGCACAGTCCCTCCCAGGCTGAACACACTTAACATCTCCAAGGCAAGTGCTGGGTGTGCTGTTGGGGCAGAATGGTTGTACCATGATCCCAGAATCACAGAATGGTAGGGGTTGGAAGGGACCTCTGGAGGTCATCGAGTCCAACCCCCCTGCCAGAGCAGCACCACCACAGAATCTAGGGCAGAAATCACTCAGAAATGCATCCAGACAGGTCTTGAAAATCTCCAGAGAAGGAGACTCCACAACCTCTCTAGGCAGCCTGTCCAGGGCTCTGTCACCCTCACAGTAAAGAAGTTTTTCCTCATGTTGAGGTGGAACTTCCTGCGCCCTAGCTTGCATCCATTGCCCCTTGTCCTGTCACAGGGCACAACTGAAAAGAGATTGGCCCCTCCTTCTTGACACTCACCCTTCAGATATTTATATACATTAGTAAGATCCCCTCTCAGTCTTCTCTAGATTAAAACAACTCCAGGTAGCCAGGAGTGAGGCATAGCCAGCACCAGGGTAATTGATGCAACCCTCCATCTCTTGAGTCACCACATGGAAAGGTGGTCACTGAGAATGGTCACATGCTGGTGGACATGGTCAGTGGAGTTACAAAGGCTACAGGGGATCCTGTTTCATCTTTAAGGGAAGGGCTATGTGTGCCCAGTTGAGTAGCTTCACTGGTTGCAAGTGAGAGCTTGGCTCTGGACTTTGCATCGAGACCCTATGTATAGACACCCAAATATAGGTGTCTGCACCTGCAGCCCAATCTCTTAAGTCTTTTGGTCAGATGTGTTGTCCTTGCAGCCTGCTTGAAGTGTCTTTCCACACAGCCCAAGAAACATGATGCATAGAACCTCTTGCTTATTAGGACTATCTGTTTAATTGTGTCTAAAAGACTTTTGCTCAATAGCTGGTATACTCATGCATGGTTTCTGCTTCATGCCAATCTGGAAGTAAATGCCTGTCTTCTGAGGATGTAAAAAACGCTTTTCAAATATTCACCAAAAATCTATTTGCTAAGTATGGCTCTTCTGTCTTCCCCAAGTAATTTTAAAAAATTTGAAGGAGCACATCATATTGAAATGAAAAAGCAAAACTGTACATCCAGGCTGCTCTTTTTCAAGCACATTTACATTTCATATCAAAATAGTTTGCATTCTTCTAGTCGTAGCACTCTTGTGAGGCAGCTGCCAAAGAGCTTTCTGGGAAATCTTCCTGTGTCTCTGGTCATGTTTGGCTTGTTGGAGATAAAAAGGATTTATGAAACTTGACGAATTCTAGTTTGTAAGAAATGAGCAACCACAATTTCAGCCTCATCTTTGCCTGAGTAGCTCTTTCATTTGGGATATTTACCTAAGATTTTGGTCAGGTGAGAATACTTTTCCAGTCACTTTGGTGTGCTGCTCATATTTAATAGTGTTGATAATAAATTTATCCTGATAGCAAAATAACCAGCTCTTATCCGCTGAATATAAAAAGGCCTTTTAGATGATCCAGTTTACCTTTTGTCAATATGTCATTGTACTCTGGATACTTTCTAGGGTATTACTTGGTTTTATCTTGTAGCTGCACTCTTCCCAGGTGAATTTTCTGCTTTCAGGATAGTAAATTATCTTGAATCATGTTGAAATCAATGGGTCATAAAGGTGGCAACTGCTTTGTCAATAGGAAGTATTTTCTCCGATACTTGTTTCTGCTAAAACGTGTTTATTCTAAATTGTTGGCTGCATTTTCCTTTTGCTCTTAACTATTCATGTTTATAGGATGGTATTTTGTAATTTCAGGTGCTCCCACAATCCTTTTATGTTTGTTTTCCAACTGAATCACAATTTTTGCATCTTGATTGTAGTGCTGTTTAACACAGCTACACAAAGCTGCATTTTAGTATTTCCTCTAATGCTCCTTTGCCCCAGAAATGCAGCTGTTTGAAATGTGATACTTCAAGATTACTTTTGAGGTTTTGTCTTTTTACTGGGTTCTAGAAATTAATAATTATGGATTTAAACCTTCCCTATTATTCTCACAATCTCTATTGTGAGAAGTAAATTCCAAATGGTTTTCCCTCTGATTGAAGACCATTTTTTGGTTCATAAAGTTTTCTTCTTTGCCATGAAGTAACATCCACATCACATAAATATGAGGACTTTTAAAGCCATTTAAAATAACAGTTTGAAGCTTGCTAGTTAGGAAAAAAAACCCCATGAGCAAATTAGATTGACTTGCATTTTGCTTCAGAGATTTCATATTTGTTGCAGTTACAATAGCGTGTTCAGTCAGACATCATCACTTGATTGCTCAAAGACCCAGCTAAACAATCTGGAAACCAAAATCCTATCATCTCATATTCAGTGATCAAATAACATCCACTACCTGCGGTGTCTTGACTTTGTATCCATCAGACTTGGAAATGTAATTAATTGACTTCAATTGAATTCATCAAAGCATCCCTAAATAGAGTTAATATGCAAGTGGTGCTACAAGCCCCTGAAATAATTGCCTCTGGTTTATCTCCTTGGCTCTCCACAGCCATGTGGATAGCTGCTGCAGCCCCCGTGGCCCATCAGAGTGGCCTCCTCAGCTGTTTGCATTTCTTGCAGCTAATTCTAAGAGGTCTGAAATTAGTTAATTATAGGAGGTTACATGTCTAGTGAGTGAGAACAGCTGTCTCCATTTCAGGGAGCATTTTCCGCATGGATCAATAGCGATGCATAGTGCTCAGGACTTGTGACAATTGAGTCATTATTCTCTTGAATCTGCAGGGCAGGGAGTGTAATATTGAAATAGCTTATTGAAAATGCCACCAGGCAGTGCAGGTTACTCTCAGGTTTTGCTGTGACTTCTGTCATAGATGTGAGTTGGAGCTGTTATGGTTTGGAAATGTTTTCCTTCCTGAGCCAACTGGAAGAGAAATTGTAGACTCTTGTAGACGTTGGGACTCACTGAAGTCTTCATCATAGAATAGTTTGGGTTGGAAGGACCTTAAAGATCATCTAGTTCCAATCAGGGACACATTCTGCTAGAGCAGGTTGCTCCCAGCCCCATCCAACCTGCCCTTGAATACTTCTAGGGATGGGGCAGCCACAGCTTTTCAGAGCGACACAGGCCAGTGTCTCACCACCCTCAAAGTAAAGAATTTCTTCCCAATGTCTAACCTAAATTGAACTCTTCCAGTTTAAAGCCATTAAACCTCATCCTATCACTCCATGCCCTTGTAAAAAGTCCCAACCAGTACCTCTATCCATAGGTTTGGCAGAGGACCTGCAGTGAGGAGGCTGGGTTGAAGAAGGCAGCTTGCACAGTTGTATTTCTAACTCAAGAGATTATTTATTCAGGTCAGGCATGAGAATTACTCTGGTCTGAGGCTTTCTGGAAGAATGTACACTGATCCTTATGCATAGCTGGGACTTGATTTTTTTTGTATGGCTTTATCAAAAAATTGGTAACTTCTTTATTTTTTAGATTCGTTATTTTATTTTTACTCATCTTTAGGAACAATCATTTTTTTAAAAGTAGCTGTTCTATGTGGAGGCAGGTGAGATTTCAGAACCTAGATGCATCTCCAAAAGAAAATTTATGCAAATTTATTTTCATTTGAAAAGACTGCTCTTGTTATTGTAAATGGCTTGTTAAATTGTTACAAAACATCCACATCAGCATGAACAATGTAACGGTTGGTTGCACTGTTAAAAATAGTCAAATCCTGTTGCTGCCGAGGCATTTACCTTAGTTTGAGGTTGTATGTTTCCTTATGAATAGGCAGTTAAATCTAATGTGGCCAGCTATTTATAGAGCAGAATGCATTAGCCAAGCTGTTTGATAAATGGAACAACTTAAAGGGCTCACTAATGGGTTACAACCTTTGTGTTGTAAAATTATGATGCATATGATGCATATGAAAGCCTAGATCAATGGACAGCTTTTAAAATCCATCATGAAAAAGACCTAATAGTGTATATTAATGTGTGATATGTTAACAGCTCTTAATCTGGAATTTAGCATTCATAACCTGGCAGTTTTGTTTTATTTAATATCTTTCTCTTCTAGAACAAACTTTCTGTGCTTTGTCTCTTCCATTATTGTCTGGAACAGAGGCCAAGTACATCCTTTGTGTGTGTTTGTGTCCTTCACTTTTTATCTTAGCTTAAAATCATGACAAGTGGTTGTGGTGGAATGACATGATTGGCAGAAAGAAATATTAAAAAATGCAGTAGTTAGTAGAGTCAAGAATCATTCCACAGAATAAAGATTATGGGTTTGATAATTCCTAAATGGTCCTTTGGGAAAAACCCGAATTCATTCTTACCTTAACAGTTTAAGCACCTCTTATTGCTCAGTGTTTTTTAGGAACCAAATTCAGGACAAGGTCCATGCCATTGGTAGTGACGGCAGTGGTGACAAAGGTGACAGAATATCTTCCTCCTGCAGCTTACACACCCCTCTCTATTACTGCCTGTTAATACTCTCAGCAACTCCCCACTGAGAGAAGATCTTCTATAACTTTCTTTACCTTTCTCTTTCTGTCTTTAACTGTTCACATCCCCTAGTGACATTGTGGCCGCCAGGTCCTTCCTCAGCCTTTGCCATGTTGTAAATATTTCCTTTTTCCAGCCTGGGATTTTGGAGGCATCCTGCAGGAGTCGTGCACCCAAGCCAATTGAGATTCCAGAGCAGCTGGATACTCAGCTCAGTCTTGCTCCTTTGAAAATCCCAGCTTTCATCTTTTTCTTTACAAGTCACCCCCTCCTGCTGCTGCTTATTCAGTTCCATATGTATTTTGCTCAGTTTTTTTACATAGTTAACTTGAAAGAATATGGCCAGAAAATCAATTATAAAACTTAATTGACTTCTCAATTGACGTAAAGAGAAATTCAACAACTAATATTACAGGATATTAGTTACAGTTTGCTGACTTTGAATTTTTTCATGTTTCCCATGTACTCAGCTTGATTAAATGAACACTTTTCCTACAGAAATCCTTTTTTATTCAAAACTAGTAGAAGTGGGGAGCTTATCACATCAGTGCTGGCTCCTGCACAACATGAGGAGAACACAAGACACTGCTGGTTTGGTTGGATCCTGGCACACACAAGATAGACTTTGACCCATTTAAGTCAGGGCTGTTCAGTTGGTCTCCTGCCCACCAAGAGGACATCTGAGAGGGAGAAGGGGCCTCCTAGCCAGGAACCAGGGTGGCTGCAGGACAGCATGTGCAGATGCTTCTGTGCCCTGTAATCAAGCACAATGAGGTGCACGTCTGATGGGGGGAAAACACTGTTTTATTAAAAGAATTTACTGATCTAGATGGTGCATGTTTCTGTCTGCAGGTTCTTACTTTGAAGGAAACCATAGCAGGTATTTCTGAAATGGCACAAGCTTAAGCTTCTTTCACCACATTAACTGATTAATTTTTTTTCCCCTTTGGTAACATAATACACAGAAACACTAATTAGCAGTAGCTACTGAAATACCTGCTTTGAATATTTTTTAAATTAGTTTTGCTTTATTGGCAAATCATTTAAGTTATTAGTGTTAGTTGTGCAAATGAGGAGTCTCATTACTTGTGGGAAAGGCAGTGAAGTATTGGTAAACACTTAGCATAGGTTTGATTTCAGATAATTCAAAATAATTGGTTATTTTTTATGACCATGGATATTCAAATAAGATTACCATGTAACATGGTTTGACAAGGTGTGTGTCAGCAGTAAGAGCATAATAGAATTTCCTTCACGAAGTGTAAGCATAAGGAAAATAGGCCCTGACAATGTATTTTAAGACCAGGCCAGACTTTTTTCTTATTTGTCTGATATTTGTTCTGTTTACTTATGCTATTACCTGTGCAATTAATCCAGTTTACAGCAATCTGAGATCTAGATTTATGCTGCAATGCCATTACATTTCTCTTTAATATTCATAATGCAGGAATTATCCACACTTTCACCCATGCAGGGTTCAGTGTTTGCAGGCAGTTTGTTGCATGCTAATAAGCCTGTGGTTTTGAACTGTTAGTTATTTTTAGTAATTAAAGCATACTATAGAAAGTCATGTTTTAAATTCCCAAGCTTTTATGTAAATGTGTTTTTTGCATGCATTGTTCTTTTTATTTTCTTTGCTCTTCCTGAGCAATCTTTAGGCCTAATGAGAGACTGTTAGGAATTAAATGGGTCATCTTGTTCAGTAAATGACTGTGAATACCTCTAATAGGGGTTTATTCCCATTAGGTTTGGCTCGATCACTTCCACTCACCCATTCCCACTGTACTGGCTGGCAGGAAAGTCTGCTGAGTTTCAGTAGGTCAGAGCCCCTGCCTTGGAGGCTGCAGGAGGGGATTTTTGGGGATGAGCAGATGCTTTCCACTGCGTAAAGGTGATGTTACCTGGAAGGCAGCAACCATTTCATCACTACTGCAATGGCTGCAGCTGAAATAGAAGCAAATCAGCCCCGTGTCACAGTGCTAAGAGAATGAGGATGGAGAACTGCTAAAAACAGTTTTTGTGGCAGTGAAACACAAATGAAAACACAAATGAAATCCAGCCTCAGTTGGTTCACGTTCACATAAAAATGCAAACAAGCAAATCCTGGTTTACAAGCTGTGTGAAATCAATATTTTTATCTTACACTTTGAAAAGTCAACTCGTCTTCTTGTCAACATCATAAATTATATATCATTACAAATGTCTTTCCTAGATGAAATCTTTGCTGTAACATCAGTTATTATTACTTTAAAATGCATTAATTGTGCCAGAAATCCTGTCCTACTATTCAGTGCTGGGGCATTTTATTTGAAGTCTTGGGAAGAGGTGGAGAGCAGAGCACAATCTTTATCCTTTTGTCCCCAAGGATCCTTACAAAAACTTCTGGAAATAGATAGTAGAGGAGTGCCTAGAACAGCCAAATCAAGATGTATGAAAGATGACTTATGGTAATATTGGATTGTTACCTTTGAACCACATTTCTTTGTATGCTCTTAAGTATCTCCAAAACAGAAATGTGATGGTATCATAACTCAGTGTGGCTGTGGATGTGCAGGTAACGAGTGGCTGTGGGATTTACAGGGACCTCTTGTGTTCTCCATCATTTTGTGTCCAGGTGTGTGATCCCAGTATTATGCAAACCCGAACTCGACAAGTGCTGAGGTCTTCTGCCAGTACAAAGCCTTGCCCTGAAGATACACAAATGAAGCCATGTATTCTTAACCAAAATTGCTTCCAATATCAGTACAATCTAACAGGTAGGTTTGACTTTCCCATCTACTCTTGGCAGGAAGTGACACCAATTGCAACGTTTGTTGAATGGACATTCTGCATTTCCAAATATATTTGTAGAAAAGATTCAGCCCCTTAAAGGCTTTCTCCAGTTGTGTTCTTAGTTGTGTTTGCTTGTGGTGGTGGCTAAAGCCTTGACATAAAAAGAATTATGTTTAGAAGTCACTGATTTCACTAAAGTTAATTACATGCCAGTGTTTTTACAGGTTAGTGGACAAAAGCACAGGTTTTGTATTTAAACTGTCACTGCAGGTACACAGAAAATAAAAAAAGGTGTGATCTCTTCTTCTTTTTGTATTATTGAACTGAATTAGTTCTAAGTTTCCAGTTAACAGAGTATCATCTCTGTGATTCTAGTGAAGCAAATAATACCATCCGAAGTCTGGTTGAGGTTATATGAGCAGACATAGGATATTCAGAGCAAAATGCATTAGAAATGCATTATTTAGGACCTTTGAAGCAATTCAGTCTGTTTCAAATAAAAACAAAACAAACAAACAAACCACAAAAAAAACCCCCAACCAAACAAAACCCACCCCCCAAAAAAAACCCCACCAAAGAAATAAAAGGAAAAAAGCTCAAATAAATAAGAAAAGCAGAAAGAGGAGAGATCTAAGAGGAGTTTGGAGGCTGGTGGGAAGGGAGAAGAAAGCAGGAGAAAATACCTGAATATGAACTCAGCCTGTTTGAAATAAACGCCCTAGAAACACACAGGCAGCAGGAGGATGCCTTTTATATCATCACATTTCAGAAATGCAGAACATTTATGTCTTTCATGTTTATCTGAGGTGGAAGACAAAGTAAAAAGGTTTTCTTCCCATATGGTTTATTTTCATTGGTGATGTATGGAAGCTTTTGTTGGTTTTGTTATTTTTCTTATTTTAAATTTTGTTTTAAGGCTTATTTCAGCTTACTTGTATTCTGACCATCACAATTTCAGACAAGTAATCAGTTATGTGTTTTCTTCTGGTAGAAATACTTTTTTCATTTCATGAGTATTAGAGCTTAGTTTTAACTAATAGAAAGCTTTGTCTTGAGACAAGAAATACGTTGGACCAGAGTTCTCCTTCAGAAGTTTCCCCAGCTCCTTTAGCCAAGTGAAACTTGAGTTGATCAGTTTGAAAAGCAGCTTTTTTTTTTATGTGGGTTGTTCTTGGCTTTGGGAAGCCCTGTCCTGGAGAAAGTAACCTGTGAGCTGAATCAGAAGAGGTGGAAGTGTGATGATGGCCCTGACCTGCAGCTCTGCACCCTCTGCTTTGTGTCCTCAGGCTGGAGCGGGTGCCAGCTGGGTGCCCAAGCTGCCTGCGGGCACGGGGAGCGGCGGCGGCTCCTCAGCTGCCAGCGCAGTGACGGGGCCACTGTCAGCACACAGCTCTGCCAGCGGGTGAGGATGGCACATGGGGGGGAAAAGGGGATTGTCCCCGGGGTAATTGTGTTTCCAGCAAGATGGTGCCTTCTGATCTGTGCCAGGACACTTGAGCGTAGATGGTGGAGGAGCGCAGCAGTTGGGTGCTTTTGGGAACAAAAGCATTCCTGGCATGTTAGTGTGTGGTATCGCTTCTCGACTCAACGGTTTGGGTTGAAAGGGATCTTACAGATCATCTAGTTCCACCCCCCTGCATGGGCAGGGACACTTCCCACTCAACCAGGTTGCTCAAAGCCCCATCCAGCCTGGCCTTGAACACTGCCAGGGAGGGGCATCCACGGCTTCTCTGGGCAACCTCTGCATGCATGGGGCTTGGCTACCCACCCTGCACCATCCCAGTAGCTCCAGCAAAGCTGGTGACCAGGGGTATTGGGACCTGTTAGGTGTTTGGGATTGTCATTTCAGAATAAGACCCAAACACTAGTGGACTCATAGGTGTGAAGTGCTTCATCACTGAAAACGCCCTGACCGCAGAGTCACAGAATTGTCAGAGTTGGAAGGGACCTCTGGAGACGATCTAGTCCAACTCCCCCACTAAAGCAGGATCCCCTAGAGCACATTACTCAGGACTGCATACAGGGGGGTCTTCAACATCTCCAGAGAAGGGGACTCCACAGCCTCCCAGGGCTATGTCACCCTCACTGTTAAGAAGTTTTCCCTCATATTTAAATGTTAATTCCCATGTTCCAGCTTGTGCCCATTGCCCCTCATCCTGTCACTGGGAACTACTGAAAAGAGGCTGGCTCCATCCTCCCTGCACCCACCCTTAAATACCTGTAGGCATTAATAAGGTCTCCCCTTAGCCTTCTCTTCTCCAGGCTGAACAATCCCAGCTCTCCCACCTGTTCCTCAGAAGGGAGATGCTCCAACCCCCCAATCATCTTGCCGTCTGCTGGACTCTCTCCCGTAGTTCCCAGTTGCACACTCAGTGATGCTGGTGTCTTGCCAGGGTCGCTGCCAGTTTTTTTTTCCCTGACTTGCTGCCCAGCTGTGGCAGGAGGTGGCGGATGGCCTGGAGGGGCTGATGTCTGTGTTTCCTTCTCCTCCCACAGCTCGGCCTGGAGAAGCCGGCGCAGACCAGCAGCAGCTGCGAGGTGGGCTGCACGGTGGACTGCCGGCTCTCGGCGTGGTCAGCCTGGTCACAGTGCTCCCACACGTGTGGCACTGGTGGTGAGTCCCCTCCTGCCCCCTTTGCCCTCCACAGACAGGACCCCCAGCCCCAGGTGGGCTCACGCAGCCTCAGGCAGGGGTACAGAGCCCAGGGATCACCCTGAGCTGCACCAAACTCTTCTCAGGTGAATCTGGGCAGTCATATTCAGTCATAGGAAACATTAACCCCTAAGAGAGGGAGAATGTAGAGCTAGCAAACTGCTGTGGAGAGTTACAGGATTCTTAAGAAATAGCTAAATAATTAAATATAAGTCCTCTGGTGAAGTTACTCTTAGTAACAGGATTATATCTCATTGAAGAAAAGACACTAAGACTGTTTTTCATTATTTAGTATGTCTCTGTCTCCATCCTGTACCCACAAGGTCCCTTACTACTTGTATGACTCCAGTAACTTCAGTGAGGCTTTCTCTAAGCCAGTAATGCTCACCAGCATACAAAAAGTGAAAATATTAGGACCTTTTTTAACTTTATATGATCTCAAAACACTTTGAGTATTGACATGAGGAAATGCATTGAAGGTTTTATTCAAAATAAGCTTGTGACATTCTTTCCCAGGCTTCTGATGTGCATTAGATGTACAACTAATGGTCTTTAAGATGCGAGAGCCATAATGTATGTTTGAAACAAATTAACTTAAGGTCAAAAAGAAAAAAGCTCTTAACTTCCATAAAGTGATTCCTTCAGATGGATTTCAGAGATCAAAGACTATTACAGAAAAAGCTTAATATTTGGATTAGTGGTGTTCTTTCTTTGCTGAGCTTTTAGCGCTTTTGTAAAGTTGTGCTTTCTTAACAGAAATGAATAATTCATAGTCTTTTAACAACAACACACTAGGAATACTGTTAGTTCCAAATCTTATTTTTTCTTCAAAATCAGTTTTGAAGTGTTAATGGTCATGTTTGCTGAATGGACTTAAATTGTTTTTGAGTGTTCAGTCACTTACTAAAGTAAAACAGTGTGCAAGAGCAGGTTCTAACTTCTCTGTGGCTTTTAGCATGCAAGAGGAGCAGCTCATTCTGTGTAATGCCTGAAGGTTTTTGTCCTGAGCTCTTACACTGCGCAGTTTGCACAGGGATGTAGGTACTCAAGATATTTCTGGTATTCAGCTTCTGATCCTGAAATGCTTATGCAAATCCTGAAGACTGGTTAAAGAGCTGGTGGTTTCTAACACATGCAAGGAGCAAACAGTGCTTCAATTCCAAAATCAGAGCTGGGATTCTGCAGAGGAAACCTGGAGATATCCACGCCAGTGCAAACCTACAAATGAGTGACGTGGCTTTGACCTTACCTCATTAAGGCTACTTGAACCACAGAGTCAAGCCCAAGCTCAGCCCAGTCTGTGGGTCATCTTCTGGTCCTCAACAATCATAACTCCATTATACTAGAGAGCTGGCTTGAGCAGCTCAGGCCACAGACATGGACGATTTAAAAGCTGGAGATCCTGTTTTGTAAACCTGCGGCAGCTAAGCGGCTGGGAAAGCTGGCTTTAAAACTGTATCATAAGGAAGCCAAGTTTTGCTCATTCCTTCTCCACCATTTGAATGGCTTTCTGGGGATCCAAAGAGCCTTCTGAGTCTCATCCCAAAGCAGGAGCAAATAATTTTAATCTGTGTTATTCGAAGTGCATGGTTTATTTTACTGCAGCCCCAGTCCTGATCTGACCTTTGCTGCAGCGACCATCAGGTGAGGAGCTACACTGAGATCAAACATCCAGGATGTTGCACCGGTCCTGCAGTGGTGGCCTTCGTGTGGTTCCAACAGCAGAGACACCATCATTCCCACTTCTTCGCTGAGTTCCAATTGGTTATAAGTACTACTTGATGGAATGAACAAAGACATTAATTATGGACTCATCTCCAGGTGGTACTTCACAGATAAATGTAGAGAGTTTCGCACCTGAAGGTTCATAGACTGCAGTACCTTTGAAATCATCATGAATTTCTCATTGGCATTTGTGAGAATAGGATGAAGCCTCAAATTAGGCAGGGAAAACCAAAGGATGACAATAAACAAGCTGTGGGAATCGACTGCAGTAAGCACTGATTCAGCTTCCCTTTCCCAGGTAAGTAATTGCCCACTGTTTGAGAACGGTGAGATGTAGGACTTAGATGTACACTCCTCAGAACTAATTCACAGCAAATGAGTTGCACACACTGCTCACAATAATATTCTGCTTTTCCTTGAGAGCCTGTGAAGGGCCTGCTGAAGTACCATAAATGGCTTCAAAGAGAAACATAATTTAAGTATCCTACAGATCAAAATTTAGTGTTGCTGGATTTATACTTTCATGTGTTTCTTAAGCATTTTTGCTAACATTTTTATTCTGTCCATCTCTTCCAGTAAGTTGATCTGCTATGATAGATTTTAACAGACAGTGCCTGTTCTTGCTCAGGTTTTATTTTATGGAACAGTGCATTTAAACATGAAGTGATGCTGCTGTGTGGGGGGCACTGACAGCTAATATGATTTCGGTACACAGCAGCCAAGGGCGAATATATTGATTTTTATAAATGATGATGAGTAAAGTAGATCTCTCTTTCCTGCCTGTGCTGAGCCTACAGAGATGTGTAACTGATCTTTGCCTTTTTCAGCTGTAGTTCTGGGCAGCATCGTTCAGGATTCTGGCTGGGACTCTAGGCTGACATTGGGTTATATATTAGGGTTCCTCATATCAGTTGCTGTGCTGCCATGAAAAGATGTATGGCCCTGCATTAATGGATGGTGCTCCCATGGCCTGAATCAAAGTTCCTGGAAAGATACTTAGTGAAGTATAATGAGCAGCAAATTGTATTTCCTTTGTTAAGGAAAACGAATAGAAATGAATTTTTCTACAAAAAAATGTTTTCCAGTCCCATATGATTTCTCCCAAGTTGTCTGACAGGAGTGCTAAACTGTATAAACCCCACTAACTCCATGCTTTGCCACTCATAAAGCTGCCTTCATCAGCCAAATACTGGGATTTACCCGAGTTACCCAGGGCTGAACACGCTGCCATGCCCTGCTCAGTCCTCAGAGCTCAGAGGAGCCTGTAACGGATTGTGGAGATGTGCACGCCAACACCAGGCTGACCTGTGGGGCAGAAATGAAGAGGACAAGGCTGCACATGACTGAATGATGTGGTGGCTACGTTTTTCATTGATTCATCACCAAATTGGGAAAACATTTTTGGTTTTGCCTTCTGAAGAAGTGACTTTTCCTTGCTTGCTACTCAAACTCATCGAGCTTCAGGCTTACGGCGTTGGGAGACATTGGAAGAGGGGCCACCAGGACCTCTCCCTGAGCTGTGGTGCCCCAGTGCCTGCTGGAGGGACTGAGAAGTACATGAAGAGCCCCATTTATCACCCGTCCCATCGGCTTGTGACCTGATGTGATCTCCAGGGCTGTATGTAGGTAACTGGATCCCTGCTCTAGCCCTGTGGTTGCCTGGGAGGACAGTGCTGTGTGCTCTGCTCACACTCATCAAACTGCTAACAGCAACAAGTCAGTAATTTTGACTGGGATGAACTCTAGCAGGAATTCTAATCATCTTGGTTTCAGCCATGATGCATCACTTTGTGGGCATAAAAGGCAAGGAATGGCAAATTTTTTAGGGGTAACACATCTTCTGATTTGAAAATATGATCCTGTGTTTCCGAGATGAAATTTTAGATGCTGATGCAAACCAGAATTTGAAGTGACCATTGTTAACAAAACTAGACTCTTTTTTTTTTTCTTTTTTCGAAGCTAGTGACAAATTTGAGGATATGAAGAAATACTTATTTTCAATTCTCAGCACACTTTGTATCTCAGTTTTTGTATAATTTAACACCACAGAGCAGAGGAATCAGAGATGTGGCCAATTCATTGGGAAAGTAAAGAAAAATTCACTGGGAAATAAAAATAATAACTAGGATTTCTTTAACTCGTCCAGAGTTTGTACTGGAAGCAAATTCATTTCAGATGCAGTGTGATTCTATTCTCCACAGGCTACAAAAGATTAGGTATTTAAAAACTAAAAACAGGCAGGTTTTCTGCCGCTTGAGTGGTATTTGAGCACCTAGGTAATGTGTGCGGAGTGAGAACAAAAATCAGAGCTTTAAGAAACTCCCGGCAGTGATTGTGCAAAGAAAGATTTCAGTGGAATTGCTGTCTTCAATTATTTATTCACAGTATATAAAGAAAGTAATAGACTAAATGAGTCAAACACAGGCTGACCAGTGTAAGTGTAGTGAGTTCAAATGGTTTGGATAACCAACTGTAGGAAAATAAAAATGTAAACAAATACAGAATGGTTATTAATTCCTCTTCAAAGGGAAACCATGTTTTCTATTAAATGATCTTCCCATTTACATTTTGCTAGAAGGATGTTTAAAAGAGTGTACGAAAGGAGATAGTTACTTAATTAAAATAGCCTGGTGAATGCTTCAGGCTTTCAAGTCCCTCCTAATGAAACTGGATCTTTTAACCTTAGAAGACCTTCTTTTCCATGTAGGGGCTGGTGCCAGTGGTGCTGCCAAGCTCCCTGCCCAGGGAGATCATCTGCCCCAGAGCACCCTCAGCACCCCATGGCCATGTGATTCCCAAGGAGCCTTTTCCATTGCTTTCCAGTCCTCAGCATTCAGAATTAAGGAGAAGCCAGCAAAATCTCCAGTCTGTTGCTGGGGAGGAACACACAGCTAATTTTGGCTGCTGAGGGGTTTCTTTTCCCTTGCTCTTACCCCTGTGAACCACAGGAGTTTCTTACCTTTCCTCTCAGCTGGTAGGATTTTTTCCACCTCTTAATGTATCTGATTCCATGATGGCTGAATGCACAGTCATGTGGATAAGAGCTTTTATCGTCACTTCTGTTACAAACTCCCCAGGTCCAGGGGATTAGAATTGGAAAGGGAAGAAGTCTTGAAATTGGTTTAAATGGGTTTAAAAATGGGATTTGATGAGTCAGTGCAAGAGGAAGGCGTTGTGAAGGTAAGAGAGCTTGCTAAGGTATCCTTCAGTAGCTTTTTCAGTTGTGTCTGCTTTTAATTTTTATTTGCTAAAATGTTTTGGGTAACCCAGCTCTGTAGACAGTTACTTATTACTTCCTGCATCTGTCTTGCTGCTTGTGTCTGCCCTTATTACCCACAGCTTTTATTCTTTTAACTGCTCAAATCTGCACCTATTGAAAGCCAAGGCAGAAATTTCACCCACAGGACAAATCTTCTGAATCTCATTTCAGAAGGGCTTTCTGCTCCCCAGCCCCTTTTCTTTTTAATTGCAGATGGGACTCTAATTGCAACATTTTGAGTGGAAAACATTCCTGGACATAAATGGACAGTAAAGGAGACAGAAATGCACATGCTGTAACTTAAATGAATATATTCAGTTTTATTATTTCACAAGTAGTAACATAATTGCTTTTCCCATTCAGTGGCTGAAGAAGTTTTCACCAGTAATAAATAGGATTTTAATGGACATGGCAGAAGTGGTTATGGATGGTAATAACCCCAAGACTGCAGTTTTCAAATTATAGGCACGTAATTGGTCATAAAAAGAAAATTCCACTTGTTAAAAACCTCTGGAAACATGTTGAATATGTAATGTTAGAAGTGGTGCTGCCATAAGTATTTCCTTGTCATATTTAATTATCAGGATTTAGCCAAGTATTTATCTGTGTTGAATAAACAAATAATGTATTTGGAAAACGTACACAACTTTTTTTTAGAAACTGCATTTGAAAATACCAGTGTATCACTTAAGAGTTAGGAATTGCATCCAAATAGTCTTCCCAATTAATTGCTTTTGTAACTGACTTTAGTGGTGTAACATGAACTAGGAAAATAATGGTAAATCATGAAAATTGTTTGTTTTATTCTCTTTTTCTCTTCCTCTCTTTCTTCCTCTCCTTCCTTCCTTCCTCCCTCCCTCCCTCCCTCCCTCCCTCCCTCCCTCCCTCCCTCCCTCCCTCCCTCCCTCCCTCCCTCCCTCCCTCCCTCCCTCCCTCCCTCCCTCCCTCCCTCCCTCCCTCCCTCCCTCCCTCCCTCCCTCCCTCCCTCCCTCCCTCCCTTCCTCCCTCCCTCTCTCCTTCCTTCCTTCTTTCCTTCCTTCCTTCCCTTCCCTCCTTCGTCCCTTCCTTCCCCCCTTCCCTCCTTCTTTCCTCCCTTCCTTCCCCCCTTCCTTCCTTCCTTCCCCCCTTCCTCCCTCCCTCCCTTTCCTCCCTTTCCTCCTTTTCCTTTTCCCGTCTCTGTCTCTTTCTCTCTGTCTCTTTCTTTCTCTTTATTTGTCTTTCTCTATTTCTTTCTCTCTCATACTTACTCTCACACTCACTCTCTCTCACTCTCACACTTACTCACACTTACTCTCACACTCACTCTCACACTTACTCACACTCTCTCACACTCACACTCTCACACTCACTCACACTCTCTCACTCTCTCACGCTCACTCTCACCCCGTCTCCCTGCCCGTCTCTCCAGGCCGGATGTTTCGCTCCCGCTCGGTGCAGCTCCCCGCGGCCGGGGGGGGGCGGCCCTGCCCGCAGGCT